TTAGGTAAGCGTCGGCCACAGTCTGCTCCCGAAATAAAACCTTGCCGGTAGACAAGCCCAGCTGCGAGATTGGCGCATACGAGGCCTTTTGGTTTCTTCCCGAGAAGCGACGAGTTCCACACGACTTTAACTATACCGACGGCATGATTCCCGACTGGGATAGTGGTCTCAACGGATCCTTGGGTTCGCATTCTCAATCTGGTTTTGGAGACTCTTATGGCAAAGGACCGATGGGCGGACCAGATAGTGCGGGTAAAAGGAACAGGAGCGAGTCCAATCCGGAGAATAACCTCAGCTCTGCATGGATCTCTTTACTATTTGCATTGTTGTGTGTCGCAATGGAACGGCTCGGATTCTATGATTCCAAGGTCGGTAGCTAGTACAACGATATGAAGGAGACTAACATCTATATAGGCTCTCGGCATCGTGGAAGAAGTCGAAGACTACAAGCGCCTATGCAAGTCCCTCTTTGAAGCTTCCCAGACGATCATGGTGCTCGGAAACTTTTTAAACTCCAAGTCGATCGAAACCGTACAAACCTTGTGAGTTACTGCCATAGTCGTAAATAATGATCTTATATTCATCGACAGAGTCTTGCATCTACATTGTCAACAATCGGTTGCCGAGACAAATTGGGAGACCCACACCGCCGTCACAATCGCCGCCGCCGCTCGAATTGGTAACATGATGGGCCTCAACAAGCTTATCCCCGAGAAACTAGGACCTGCGCGGGCCCCTGGTTTTCTAAAGCGAGAGGCAAGTCCGCAAACTTTTTGTAGAAAATTCTTATTGACAAAAGATGGACGTTTAGCTTGGTAGAAGGGCTTGGTGGAGCCTGATCGAAAAGGACTGGTCACTTTCTACTCGTACCGGCTACACATATGCCATCAATCCTAATCAAAACTTTTGTGACTTGCCATCAAATTTGGATTGGGGCGAGCCCGAGATAGTTTTGAACAATTCGATCCCGAGGCCAAGGGAAATATGGACGGTGCGTCTTTACCAACTCTTGGTATTTTTGGCCTCAACTCGCCCCTATAGAGCGCCTCACTATTCCTTGCCAAGGCGGACATTGCCAGGGCGAACCGGGAACTGGTGCGTGGATTTATCATTGGTTCTGCATTCTCTTATCATCATCGATACAGCTCGACCGCTACAACTCTCCAGAAGGAGTATCCTATACCCTCCTCTTGAACCATCACGCACAATTGGAACAGAGCCAGTCTCGTATCCCATCTTCTCTCATTCACTTGGACGGAGATTTAGAACACACCAACACTCAAGTTCAGGTAGGTAGTCATCTCGTGATATATTTCCTAGCTGACTTTCCAAATAACAGTGGGATCGGATATTGTACACATTCCATAGTCATTACAGTATCATCTCGACTCATCGCCCTTATATCGTCACTGCACTTTTGGACGCCAAGAATCACGAAAATGAGGAAAAGGCTAGTCACACTAGGAGCACATCGGTCTATACCAACTCTCTGGAAGCGTCTTTGCGCTCGGCTGAGACGATATTGGACACGATAGAGGAAGCTAAAGCACTAGACTATCCAGGTGTTCAGGTACGAATTTCATTCGCTTCCAACCTGCAACTGTTGACTCGCTCTCAAGTGGTGGCAAACGACCCTTTATTGCTACGTCGCCGCAGTCGTGCTTCTCGCCGAGAGATGGTACACATCCGAGGCCAAACCCGGTTCCTTGAAATCAGAAGACGCAGAAGAAAGAAAGAGAAAGATTGTTGCCGCCATTGCACTTTTACGGTATGCTAAATCTCACGCAGCTTCGGACATATTTGCTAACTATTTGTTAGGGATCAAGGAGAGTCTATAGATCTCTTCTCGGAAGCCGCAAATACATTGGACTCGCTCCTCGACGCGACTACTTCGGCTAGACGAAAAGCACGACGAAGCAGCTCCAAACGAGGAATGGATATCACCGACGTCGTAAATCCCATTAATATTCCATCTCGACCTGGTTCAAATGCCAGCACACCATCTTTTGTACGTGAATGGATCGAGCGCCCTAATACTCCTCTTTCTCCGCCTCGACTCCTTCCAGAACATGAACGCTCCCTTTCCACAGTTTCTCTCGCACCAGGAGTTGCCCTTACTGCAGACAACTCTTTCGACTCTCATTTCTGGGCTCGAGTGTTTGATCTACAATTCGGATCCCCCGTCGCCACTCCCGACCCTTTCTTTCCGTCGGACACAAAGGAGACCAATCATAATGATGCGATGGAGGGAGTTA